TCAATGCTAATAAACTATCTTCCCTCAACTATATAGTCCATACTCCTGATCGCAGAAAAGATTCACAACTTGTTCACATTAATCTCATGAAACTTTACCATTCCAGGCAGTCAGAGGAAGACATCCCAGAGGCTATAAGCCTACCTGTATTGCATACAGTTTTGTCAGGGCCGGAGCCGGAGACAGATGACATGGACCTATTGGAGAATTTAGACTTCCCTCTACCTAAAGAAAACCCTGCTAACAGTCACATACTCAACAACGGATGATGTTTTTTCTGTTCTGAATCCATCTCAACAAAGATCTCACTCAGTTAGTATCAACATTTCCTAAAGTCACGTCAGACCTCTGGGGTTTTTGCAGCCTGCTTAAACATGATATTAAGCTAATCTCAGATGATGTACAACCCATTGAAACTAATCAGCCTATCGACTAAATCACAAAAAGGTATAGAAAGGAGGTAGATTTTTTGTTAAAACATAACTTAGCTGAGCCTAGTACCTCCCCCTGGGCTTCACCTTGCCTTCTCATTCCAAAACCCGATAGCAGTTTTCGTTTCTGTACTAATTATCGTAAAGTGAACCAGGTCACTGTCTCAGACTCCTACCCTTTACCTTTGATTGAAGATATAATAGACAGCATAGGCTGTGCAAAATTTATTACTACGGTGGACTTGTTGAAAGGATATTATCAAGTGGGACTCACAGAAAGGAGCAAAAATAATCTCGACATTTATATAACCTTTGGTGCTTTTTTCAATGTTTGGTTTGGCGTTTGGCTTTTCTAATGCTCGGCCACATTCAGAGGGCCATCAACTTCTGTATTCAGGACCCTGGGTGGGACGTTCGCCTACCTGGACTGACCTGGTGGTGGCGGTGGCCGGACAGCTGGGCGAACATCTGGTGCGTTTGGAGATACTGTTTGCACGACTGCAAGACTGGATTCACCATAAACCTGGCTAAATCTGCTTTTGGCCGTGCCTCAGTGACTTACCTGGGACATATCGTTGGGCATGGTATGGTGAGACCCAAGGACGCAAACGTTAGAGCCATCTTGTCCTTCCCCACTCCAAGGACGAGGAAGGAACTCATGCGCTTCCTGGGGATGTGCGGCTACTACCGTCAGTTCTGCAGTAACTTCTCCAGCGTGGCCGAACCCCTCACAGACCTTACCAGTTCTGCGGTCCCTTACATCTGGAACCAGAAGTGCGACCAGTCTTTCCACCGCCTCAAAGCCTTCCTTGCCTCCAAGCCTGTAGTCCACCCCCCTGACTACACCTTGCCCTTCCATCTGCAAATCGACGCTAGCGGTGTCGGAGTGGGGGCTGTGCTCCTACAACCCGACCCAACCCACTGATGTTCTTCACCCTGTAACCGTAATACTCCGCCAAGTTGAAAAAACATCAGACCAACTACTCACGACCATAGAAGAGCCCTGGCTCTGGTGTTGGCAATAAAAGAATTTTGAATGTTACCTCCAGTCTTGCCCACAAACAACCCTAGTCTTCACCGACCATAACCCACTCACGTTCATCCAAACCAACAAGACCTCCAACCAGCGAATCCTCCGCTGGGCTCTCCTCACCCAGCCCTATAATCTACAAGTCCAGCACATAAAGGGGGTGGACAACCTGATTGCAGACTACTTATCCCGAGCTCCAGTGGAAATGCAGCAGCTACTCTCCAGACGCACCAGGTGATCACCTCCTTCGCGCCAGCGCTACGGAGGTCTTTGGAGGGGGGGTGTGTTACGAACCCCTCCACCCAGCACTACGAACCACGCCATCTATTGTCTTGATCTACCTACCCAGCACCACGAGCAACGCCATCTAGGGACAAGACACGAGTATGACTCGCCTTAGTTACCACTCCGGGGTTTCCCTTCTCCATATCCTGGTTGTTGCGTCACTTCCTCCAAGTCTTCTTTGTGAGCTCCAATTCGAGGAGAGAGCACTTGGCTCTGGGAAGTGACCACAGGATCATCTATCCTCTAAACCTACGGCGCAGTGACTACCTACCGTCTTCTACAATACTCAGCCTTACTCGTCAGCCATCTCAGCTCCTCACTTAAGTATTTGTATTCTTGTATTGCCTCCCCCACGTCCACTTGCTTCAAAATTGTTTATGTTGTATTAATATGTATATACTGTACTGTTAATGTTTAGGTTAAGTTTGGTTAAGGGTAATTTATAAGCTGATATTTTGTTAAGGGATTTATGGTACTTTATTATACACAACGAAAACTCGCATCCTTTGTCTACCCTTTTAGAGTCCGATTGTCTTTGGTTTTTTTTTATAGTTGTTACCTGTTGGGATCTGGGTAGACTTAAAACTATTTTCTAAATCCCCAACTCGTAACAATATCTTCAGAGGGCAAAAATTTGACTCATGACCCCTGAACGTTTGAGGCACTCAGATGAGAAAAAAGCTCCATTTACAGTTTAAGTTTTTAAACTATTTCTTTCTTTGATTTTGAAGAGAATAATTTTGCTGAATACTCTTTCACATTCAACCCAAAATTATCGTACAAACCGTACGATAATAGAAAATGTTATCGTACATCGTGACGAAGATGAATTTATCTTTTACTTTTTTTTACTTTTATCCTCTTCGCCACTGATCGGCTTGTTAGCCGCTTGGGCGATCGGTCACGTCTCTTTTCATTTATATTCTTCACCAAAAGATCGGCTCGCTAGCCGCCCGGGCGATCGGTCACGTCTCTGTCACGCACTGTTGGCAAATACTGGGCATGCACCGGCTCCTGAATGTGCCTGAACCCGCTCCAGTGTTGGTCAAGTCTTCTCTTGAAAGAGCTCACACTCGGTGCCGTCACAGCACTCTCTGGTAGATTGTTCCAAGAGTTTACAACCCTCACTCCGAAAAAGTTTGCCCTCACGGTTTTCTGGACTTGCGGCTTCTTCAATCTTGAGCTGTGACCCCTTGTGGGGCGAGCGTCCGCCAGCTCCAAGTAAGGACACTCAACTGAGTAGTGCCCCCCTGAGATGCTTATACACCTCAACTAGGTACCCCCTTGCCCGTCTGTAGTATAAGCTAGGCAAGTTCAGGCGCTCCAATCTCTCAGGGTAGCTGAGGTGTCGAAGTGCAGGCACCAGTCTGGTGGCCCTCCTTTGAACATTTTCAACCAACTGACAATCCCTAGCATATCTCGGGGACCAGATGAGGTGACAGTACTCAAGATAGGGAAGCACTTCACTCCTGAAGATTGTCACGAGGGACGGACCGTCTAGATATCTGAACGACCTTCTTATAAGACCCAATAATTTATTTGCCTGATTTACCTTCTTACAATGGCCCGAGAACTTCAGCTCATTGTCAACATACACACCTAGGTCCTTCTCACATACAGTCTCAATTAGTGCATTTTCTTCATCCCGTTGGGACATATGATACGCCTCCTTACCGTTGGTACGCCCCAGGTGCATCCTCTTACACTTCGTGACATTGAATCTCAGCAGCCATTTCTTCGACCATTCCTGGAGCCCACAGAGGTCCTTCTGCAGCTCTTCACAGTCCGCTTGGTTCTTAATTTCCCGAAATAACTTGCCATCATCGGCAAACATTTGTATGGAGGAGTGTACAACGTCAGGCATGTCATTTATGAAACAAACAAACAGCGGGCCCAATACACTGCCCTGTGGTACCCCACTTGTTACAGGTGCAGATGACGATTTCGTGCCATTAATCACCACACGCTGCTTGCGGTCATGTAGAAAGTCTTCTATCCACGCTAGGACATTTCCCCGAATTCCGTACCCTTCCAGATTGATTTTCAGCCTTTCGTGGGGTACACTGTCGAAAGCCTTGGCAAAATCTAGGTAAATATTGTCGATATTACCACCCCGTTCCAGAATATGGGTCCAAATATCCAATACCTTGAGCAATTGTGTTAAGCAAGAGCGCCCCGGCATAAAACCGTGTTGGCAATCTTTTACAAGGTTGTTTCGTAGTAGATGTTCCATCGCTGCATCTCTGATAATACTCTCAAGTACTTTACATATTATGCTGGTCAGGCTCACCGGTCTATAATTGTTCGTGGAGTGACTATCGCCCTTCTTGAAGATAGGACTCACATAAGCCACTTTCCATTCACTGGGGACCATTTGTTCATCCAGGCATTTACAAAACAGGAGCTTCAGGGGCTCTGCAAGCTCGTTGCACAGCTCTCATACATGCAAGTAAATCACTGTAGGTGCGCGTGATCTAGTTATATGCTGATAACCACAAGGAAAGAAGAAAACACGAAGTTCCCAAGCGCTTTCGTGTAATTGAAGATGTGAATTACACGAAAGCGCTTGGGAACTTCGTGTTTTCTTCTTTCCTTGTGGTTATCATACATGTATGATAATTATCATACATGTGACAACTCTGCTGCTTCAATATTATTGGCCAGCCAATTCAAATGCTATGATACCTGAAGGTCATGTCATGTCATGTCGCGAAGAGGAGGAGACAAGTGACTGGCAACATGGCGGGTACAGAAATTTACTCCTAGAAATTTTGTGAAATGTTCCGTTAATATTGATTTGCACAAGAAATGATATGAAGTCGTATGTTTTATTTTTTTTTGTAGCTGTAATATTGAAAATTGAAATCTTGCGGACAGCCAATGGACGAATATTAACATAAAATATTATAGTTCCATAATATTTTTTTTGATAATAGAAAATAAGGGAGAAAGGGAACACGGTGCTCTTACTTTCACTTCTAGCGAGAATAAATGTCCCTCATTCATTACTGTACAGAGACATAAATAAAGCCAATTATGCCAAACTGAAATTACCCTAAGATCTTAATGTTACATAAAGAATATTTATCTCAATTATATATATTTTATTAGACCTGTTTATATATCTAGCAGTATTATTTATCTTTTCTGAAATACGAAAAAGAATTTAAATCACCAACATACTGTAGTTTACGTAACTATTTAATACAATTTCAACCTTTATATATCTTTAATAGTTTAATAAAACCATTAAATATATATAAAATTATATATTTAAATAAGAGAACTGTGCGTTAGATACATGAATAATGAAAAAAAAAAGTTATCACCATTAAATTAGTTTCTTTAGGTTGTTTGTGGTGTTTAGGAGGACAGCTGATCACTCCTCACAACTCAGACCAAATTTCCCATTCAAGTTTTTTCTCTCCCCTTACCATGTGATAAACAATCAGGTAAGGTCCTAAAACGTATATTAAAACCACTAATTAAACCTGAATTAATTTTAAAACTAGAATAAAGTTACGTAGTTGTAGATGAGATACGAATGGTGACTTGTTGTGCTTGTATAATAATTGACCTTTTTGAGTGAATACATAATTATTTATTTGTATATTGAGGGATTAAATAAGTATATGATGTGAAAGAGTGTGTTTTGGGGGTATTATTTAGCGAGGGAGATGAGTTATGTATAATGGGTTAGTGTTATGTTGTTTACGTGTATATTAAGGTCAAGTTCTTTCTGGGTTTGTGTTATTTGACCTGTTCTTGATATAGTTTGATCTTATTTGACCTATTTTTGACATATTTTGACCTTATTTGACCTGTTTTATATAGTTTGACCTTATTTGACCTATTTTTGACATATTTTGACCTTATTTGACCTGTTTTATATAGTTTGACCTTATTTCACCTGGGTTTTTTTATAATTTGACCTTATTTGACCAGTTCTTGATATAGTTTAGCCTTATTTGACCTGTCCTGTCTCCTAAAATATTAAAATTACCCAAACTAACCTAGCCAAAGGTAATTCTAACCAACCTAACCAATTTTAATATATTTTAACCTAACCCAAATAAAACCAAATCTAACCTAATAATCTTGTGGTCATTTTTGGTTAGGTTAGGTTCTTAACAATGAAAATATAGTGTTAGTGGATTATTTATATTATTTTCTTTTATAATTTATCTCTATAATCAGTCGCTTGAATGTCATTTTTATTTGAATTTTTTTTTACCCAAATTAATTTTTAGCTGTGTAATTTATTTATTTGTTGCTTGTGTTTACTTTGTTATTTTTAGTTATATTTATAATTGAATGTTACTCTGGGTAGCTTCAGATGACCGATTAAATGTCGAAAAAGTCTGAATTACTAATACAGTCGAGTAACACTTGAAATGTTGGATACTGTACAAGAATAAAGGACTATTTCTTAAGCAGTTTTAGTGGATATATATATTTTTTTTTTGCATAGATCATTCTGTTCATTGTCATCCTCGCTGCAAAGTTCAGTTACTTGGTGATGGCAGTGTGACAAGGAAGCTAAGTCCAGAATATGTCTTCAAAAGCAATACTCAATCTGCTTAATCAGCGCACATGGCTTGATTGATTAATACACCAAGGCAGTCAGTTTGAACCTGTGGTCTATTCACCCTGGATATATCATCTGTCGTACCGTATTAAAAAAAAATCAGCAAAATATCCCTCACAGACATCTGGCAGAAGAATTACAGTCTGGTGATGGCCTCATGACTTAGCGTTCCGTCAGCTCTTCTACTGTTATATATATCGTCTGTGTTGTGTACAAACTGATTCAAGTGAAATACAAAGAAAGGAGGTGGGAGATGTTATACTGGCAGATAGTAGCATTCATTCCTGTGTGTTATATGTCAGGTTTGGTAAAATGATTATAAACTTGTTGCTTAATGTTGTTGTTGTTGTAGAATATTTCCTTTTGTTTTGAAGGAAATGGCCTGCAGTGCTGATGGCTTACCCACAAGTGAGGCCCTCAGTCTCTTGCATGAGGACATCTCCATCGCTTTGGATAAATATCAGAAGACAGAAGCTGAAAAGTAAGTGTAGAAAAGATTATTAATTAATTTTGAAATACAGTATTAACCTGTGGGGCATATTGGAGTCTGTACTTTCTTGTAAATGAGGCGTATAGACTAACCAGGGCGTATGTGCGAATATCTCAACTCGGTTCAATTATTCGGGCTGTACTGCATGTTTTCTGCCCTTGGTTTCTTATGGGATTGTACCACGCTGGAGGTATATCCACATTGCCTGACAATGATGCTATGGACTGACACAGAAAATGGGAAATTGAGCAACCCAGTGATGTGCCCTTGCTATTGTAAACACCTCATATGTTTGGTGATACTGTATTATGTTTTATATTTCAGGAACAAAGGTTTTGGACCAAAGAGTGTTCTGTATGAAGCCTTCCACCACAAGAGTAGTCTCTCTGTGTTTCATTGGACATCAGTGATAGCGTTGATCGTTGAAGGCATCGTGCTGCTGGTGGCCTTCGCTGCATGTAATGACCCCAGGTGTGTACAGTATGGGTCCATAAAATACAACAGGCATATGAAGTTACCTTTGATTCTTTCTGTGCTATATATTGACCTGAGAATGTGGACTGGTGTAATATTCTCCATACATAGGTAAAAATATATGACCTTATGATTTGGTATGAGTGTAAATACAAGCAAACATACAGTAGCAGTAAAGCAACCATTTGTTGACAGATAGGATAACTAATCTGATGTCCTTAATAATTTTTCCATTAGAGAATTTAAGATGAATTTTGTTCTGTTTAGATTTACAGATGATGTAATATGTTTATTATTATTATCAGGTACCAGCATCTTCCTGCCGAGTCCTTCTTCATTTTCTTAGCAGTAATTCTTAACGTGTACTTGGTGTGGTGGGACACTCAGCTGAGGCACAAAGAGGTCCCAAGACTCACACACAACGTCTTAAAGGATCTTAAAGGTAAAGCATTGTGACTTACGGTAACGTTTTTTATTAATATCCGAACATTGTCTGTGAATTTTAAAACTGTTCTTTATTTAGTTACCCACAAAAGTACCGTCAGTGTGTGCGTTGTTTCATACTAGGACCTTGACACTACTCTCCTGCAACTTTCTACACTTATCATTACACCACTACCCACCACTGTTCTCTCCTAACTACAGTATTTGAGGTTTCTTTGTCACTTACTCTTGCTTGTTTCCGTTGGTGTCATGCGTGCCATTTTTTTTTTTCAGAATACCACGGCAATGTGTTGTGGTCTGCCGAGAACTATCCTCACCTCCACTCCCCCCCTGCATCACCCTCCAGTGGACTCGTCGCGATGGTAACACAGTCAACCTCCCTTGGTCTCTCCTGGTGCGTGGGGATATTATACTCATGAAACCTGGACAGAAAGTTCCTGCTAGATGTAGGCCCATGCAGGTAAGTAGTATAATTTTTATTTATTCCTAACATTTACTGGTACTACAGTATATGCACAAGTGATGCAACCCTGGTGCCTAAGGTCCGTAATTGCCTTGGATAATGAGGAGTATCTATTGAAATATATGTGGTGAAAGTTGCTGGCTGAAAAAGCATCTCCCCTTATTCAAATTAATTCTTATGGTGGAAAATTGCCCCAATATTCACAATTTCGTTATTTTCAATGACTTTTAGGAATGCCTCCCTTGCGATAACTGGGGTATTCCTGGTACAGTATGCACGTGACACAGTACAGCCGGGCAGTCACCCAGCTGACCCAATGCCTTAATACATATGTTCACTTCCCACACATACACACACATGCTCTTAATTTTTTTTTTTTTTAGTTTTATAATTTCTTTATTTCCAAGCCACATTAGAGTATTGTAATGATTTCTTTTCTTCTCAAACAAGCACAGAGAAGCGATAAACATACTGAGATAAGGGAGAAGGATGGTTTGTTGATCCTTTATATAATGTACTTTAAACCTTTGTTATCAAACCACTATAAAACTATTTAAAATTCAGATACTGTACCATGTGGCAACAATGGTACATATTCTGTTACGAGTAATACTATTAGAAATGTCGTTTGACAATAAATTGACGATACGTATTTAGATAGCCAAGCAACTTATGAATTACACTGGTGTCAATATACATTACTGGACCCTCGATAAAGAATGATATTAGGTTCCTGAAACCTCAATTAGTTGTGAATCATTCTTTACTGAACTTCTTATGGGAAAGAGGGCTAGGGTCTGAACATCGCAAAGATTGACTTTTTTAACTATAGTACGCATGCCTATTTTCATCCACGATGGCGTCACAGCAGTAGAGTACTGCATTCACAAGAGTACTGTACTGTACATAACATAAAATATGGTAAGAAATGATTTATTGAGAATCGTGCATGTCGTATTCTCTTTACCACCGATCAACAACTAACCATCACCACCCTGCACCATCTCCCTACTGTACACCCATCTTATGATGTCAAACAACAAGCATGGAATTATTGTGATCCTAATACTACTCATAATAAAATCACTGGTACTGTACTTCCCAAGGTAAAACTACTTTGTTCAGCAGCACACCTCCATACATTATTTGTTACTTATGGCATTATAAATTTTATGATTTGACAGATAAGGATGGGTGTTTTATTCATATTTTATTTTGCGTTATTAACAAGGTTCTGAGTTATGAATAAATCAACTTATGAACAGGTCCTGAAATGTAACCCGTTCATTATTCAGGGGCCCCTGTACAGTATACAGATTCATCCAAGGCAAACACTTGGATGGATGCCAATATGCAGAAATTAAAAGCAATATAACATTTACGAGACAAAAACTTATCATATTTTCTACAAGATCTGGAGAAAAAATATAACTTAAGTGTACATCTATTATCTATACTGTAATTCAAAATTTATATTTCTTTAATATTGTATACCATCAGCTTCAACTACAGTATTACCCCGCCTAACGCGGTTTCACTTAACGCGTTTTATCATATACGCGGTGCCTCGCCAGAGCTGAACTTTCACTTAACACGGATTTTTTCCACATATACACGGTGAGTGTCCGGCTCGAGACGCTATTTTTAGATTTGCCCCACCCTGCCTGACTGCCTGTTTTAGCTCATAAAATTCATACAAATTACCCGGCCAGAATATAATTTACATTGCTGGAATTCTTATAATTTGGTGATCATTTTGAATATAAACATCATATTTTTGCATTAGACATACAAATTTTAGATAAAAATGTTTCTCAAATTAACTATGTTATCTTTTGTGCAAAATATATGACATTTATATTCAAAATATTCCTGGTCTTACAAGGAATCCAGCAATGTCAATTATATTATCCTAACTTTAGTTTGAGGTATTATTTATTAAAATTTAGTGGTTATCCCACACATCTCCTTGGGATGGTTGGTGGGGGGTGGGGGGGAGGGAGGGACCGACCGACCATCTGTTACCCTGTGAAGAATTATTTTTTTTTTATTAACTGAAGATATTTGTTTTAGCTCATAAAATTCATACAAATTATCCGGTCTGAATATAATTTACATTGCTGGAATTCTTATAATTTGATGATCATTTTGAATATAAACATCATATTTTTGCATTAGACATACAAATTTTAGATAAAATTTTTTCTCAAATTAGCTATGTTATCTTTTGTGCAAAATATATGACATTTATATTCAAAATATTCCTGGTCTTACAAGGAATCCAGCAATGTCAATTATATTATCCTAACTTTAATCTGAGGTATTATTTAATACTAAATGTTAAAAACCCTGGAAGGGAGGATTGGTGGGGGGTGGGGGGGGAGGGTTGGGACTGACCGCGCGGTTGGAAGAGGGGGGGAGGCAAGGTGGGGTACTTTGATTGACAGATAGTGTTGTAAAGATTATTTTTTTTTTTATTAACTGAAGATATTTGTTTAAGCTCATAAAATTCATACAAATTACCCGGTCAGAATATAATTTACATTGCTGGAATTCTTATAATTTGGTGATCATTTTGAATATAAACATCATATATTTTGCATTAAACATACAAATTTTAGATAAAAATTTTTCTCAGAGTAACTATGTTATCTTTTGTGCAAAATATATGACATTTATATTCAAAATATTCCTGGTCTTACAAGGAATCCAGCAATGTCAATTGTATTATCCTAACTTTAGTTTGAGGTATTATTTATTAAAATTTAGTGGTTTTCCCCCAAAAATTTCTCTGAGAGGGAAGAGCCAGCGAGTGTAGTGTGAGAGAGGGAGGGAGTTGAGTCCAATATTTGAATGGACATTAACTTGGCGACTGTATTTCTCTTAAGTATTAATTGTGTGCATGTACCATCATAAAATTAAGATGTTATTTTTACTACAACATAGGTATGTGCCTTCAAAAAGTGGAGTTTGGGGGTCAGGCCGGTTTCTATTGGAATTAATCCCATATGTTCTGTTGTTCACTTAACGCGGATTTCACTTAACCCGGGACCCTCTGGGTTCAATTGACCGCGTTAAGTGGGGTACAACTGTACAAAGAAAATTATATAAAGTTAAATTTACCTGTACATGTGGTTTCTTCTCCAACACTTTCTATGAAGATATTTCATTCCATCCATCAATGGGTCCCAGCTTTCATAATGTGTGAGAAGTGAGACAGCAATAAAAGATGTCATCATGGGAATTGCACCAATATAAATTAGCAGTGAATACTTGATGCCCTTGAGCCAGATGTCCACAAACATTGTCAAGGGAATAG